GCCCACCCACAGTTTTAGGACATTTTGTTTTCCCTTGAGACAGCACTGAAAGAAAGTTTTCAAATTGTGAAGAGGAGTGATTCTTGAGAATTCTGTTTTTTAGCAACAAATCCAATTGATTAAGTTTAAAATTTATACATTATCTAAAGTCCATAAGATGTTATAAAGTTTTGGAATATAAAAAAAAATTAACAGTAATGTTGTCACAGTAATATTTCATTGAGTGAAACATGAAAAAATATAAACAGAAAGTTAAAATGAGCACCAAAACAAACCCTAGGCAAGATATTACCTGGAAACTTTTCTTAATTGTTTGAATTTCTCACACACAAAATATATGTCCATTCTTTTCTAAAAACTACCAGCTATATCACTACACAATTCAAGAATGAGGGGAGCTGAGTATTTACATGTCACATAACATATAAAGCTATTATCAGATTTATTTTAGAGCTATTAAATTTTTAACTAAACTACATTGTCTCTTTAATAAGTTATTATTACCTATACATGACAAAAGGTGATAGAAAATATACTTAAACAAGTTAGAATGGGGGAATAAAGGAAGGGGGTAATTAACCCTAAATTTTGTTCTCCGTTTATATAAAAGACTCTTCATTCAAGAGTTTACATACTCTTTTTTTCTTTAGAAACAATTTCATAAAAAAAATAAAAAACATCTTGGGGAGAACCCAGAAATGAACACTAGTCACTCTGTAATACAAATATCCTCAAACCAGGGATCAGTTTGTATCCTCCTTTGCATCTCCTGTTGTTCCTCTAGTGTAGCCGTGGGCAAACTATGGCCCGTGGGCTGGATCCGGCCCGTTTGAAATGAATAAAACTATTGAAAAAAAAGACCGTACCCTTTTATGTAATGATGTTTACTTTGAATTTATATTAGTTCACAAAACACTCCATCCATGCTTTTGTTCCGGCCCTCCAGTCCAGTTTAAGAGCCATTGTGGCCCTCGAGTCAAAAAGTTTGCCCACCCCTGTGCCAACATTACCTTAGGCAGCAGTTCTCAACGTGTGGGTTGCGACCCCTTTGGGGGTCAAACGAGCCTTTCACATGGGTCACCTAATACATCCTGCATATCAGATATTTACATTATGATTCATAACAGTAGCAAAATTACAGTTATGAAGTAGCAACAAAAATAATTTTATGGTTGAGGGTCACCACAACATAAGGAACTGTATTAAAGGGTCGTGGCATTAGGAAGGTTGAGAACCACTAAGGTGGCCCTCAGTGTATCCTCACCTTCACTCACGACAAAATGCTTTCTAAGAGGTGTTTCCAAATTTCTGTTAGATACAGCAGATTCACCTCTTTTTTACTTGAGTTGAATCGAACGCTGCCCCTGGAACTTGGTACTGACCCCACTATGACTGGTGTCCTGTCTGGATCTGGTCCCAGTTTGGATCAGAAAAGGACTTCTCTCAGCCCCTTCTCATCCTTTAGTTCTTAAAAAGCAGCACAAAGATAGGGATATTTGTTATTTGTTAACAAAACTGCCATTGCACTATGTCTAAAAGCATAACGGGGAAAATAAAGGAATGCCCAGACCTTTAAAGATAATGGATTTCAAGTTCTATTTTCCTACTGAGTTAAGACCTTCATTTCTCTTGGAGAAATTTATTTCAATTTTCCAAATGTTTAGAGTTTCTAGATAATTTAAGGTAAAAATCTTCTACTTAAATGTGGCTGAAGTGGTTTAGCACTTAACCTAGCTAGCTGTAATCCATGACACACACCCAACCAGATCAGCAATAAACTAGGGATGACTAAATTACTAGTAACCCTTCTGGTTTGTGTTTTTTGTTTGTTTGTTTTTTTACCTGAACATCATTTCTAAACTATAAGCTAATTAATAATGGAAGTGTTTGCTATTTCTCACCCACTATTCTTAAAAAGGTGAAAAGGTATTTTTAGAGTGAATATATTATGCTACTAAAATATTTACCTATTCTTATGTAAGCTTCAGCATAATTATAGTTTTGTATAATTAGAGTTTTATGTCAAAAGATTTATAGCTTTATCACCTCAAGCAATATTTCACAGCTGCCAAGAATGATTTATGCAATAATGACTTAAACTGTAAAATAGAACCCTCAAAGGAAGGGCTGTCAAGTATTCCTCCCCCAAATAACTAGGCTTTTAAAAATTGATATTCTGGTAAACAGCAAGTCCAATTGTGCCCAGTAAAATCCCCAGAACTGGCAGGGTGGGAAGTGTTGCCTCACAATGGTGATCATGTAGATCACCTGTGGGAACTCACTCAGATCATGGGGTCTAAAGCCTCTGGCCACGTTGGAAAACAAGCTTTTGGAAATAATGTCACGCTAATATTTTTGCTACTCCAATATGAGTGAATAAAAAGTTAAAACAGAATATCTTAAATTTTTGTTAATATGCTCGTTGTGCATATTGCATCACTATTCATATTCCTGTAACATGCTAAATTACAGTAATATCCCATGGAATGGAACATGAAAGTTAAAAGAATAAGTAGAGAAAGCATTTTCTATATATACTTCAAACACCAAGAACCTCTCAAAAATAAATGAGGAATTAAGGAAACTTTGAGAAACAAACCAATGAAAATGTTGCTGATTTTGTTCCTTCCTGCTTTTATAAATGTAGAAGAGTGGCTGACAGGCCTCTAAGAGGCAAGCATTTGAACTTCTCAAGCTCTGATTTTGTGGATGCCATGTGAAAAAAATCAATAAATTCTGAAGATTATCCTCAAGGTATATGAACTAGTAGCAAAAACACAAGTTGATTACATTCAAAGTCAATAATTCTGACTGTGTCTTTACAATCTAAAAGGTCATTCAAATTAATATTTTTCTTTGAAAGAAAAGAAAATGCTTCTTTCCCATAGAAATAAAAACAAAAAAACTGCAATATTTGTCATTAGCCCTAAAAGTCCTTGTAGACCGAGTCACATCTATAAATAAAGCCAACAGTATCAAAATCATCACCACATACTGATTACTTCTATACCAAACAAACTTTCAAATAAACATTCTTTGTCCAAAACAGAGAGGTTTTCACTTATGTAACCAAGTTAATCACTAAAATAATAAGATTTGCATTAGTCAAATATGAACATCTCCACTATAAAATTTTTAACATTCAAGTTTGTGATAAATTGCTTTTAAAAATGCTTGTAAGGTGTTCTTGAGATTATTTTACACTCATATTATACAAACTAAGCCAGGTTCCAAAACATCACTATTCCAATTAATAAAAACAACTTCTATTTGAAAGTACTATCTGAAAAATCTATAGTTAGTTTCCAAGTAATCTGGACAGTCTAGGTTCATTTTATACTTAAATTCTCTAAGTTGAATAACATCTGAACTGTCCCAGGAAACAAAATAACCAAATGTGGGCCAACATGACCTGTAGTAACCACAATGCAGACTTTGCCAACATCATGATAAATATTCAGATAGAAAAAAATGTCAGACATTCAAATTATTCCAAAAGTCAAATCAGGTACACACACACACACACACACACACGATGAATTGCATTTGGGTAGTTAAAGACTCAGTCCAAGAAATGTTTTCAAGACAACAGAGCAATTAGGCCATTTCTAATATGCCAACATTACTGACTGAAAAGTCTGGGTAAAGCGAAAAGAACTTTAAAAGCTATCTCTGTATTGGTTGATAATCATATATTTTCATTCCAGATTAATTCAAAATTATACAAACCTGTTTTTCCAATGATACTTTGTTATATGTACCAACTCAAATTGCTATAAAAATCTAGTAATTAACGATTGTAAGTTTTCTATCATAAAGTATTTAATTATGAGAAAACAAGAGGAAGAGTTAAACCTTTTCCCTGCTAAAATTTGTCCTCTGTATTTTATTAAATGACAAGTAATGATATGATATAGGCTATAACACATCACTCATGTATTCCTTTGCAAAACTTGAGTTAACTAAACAGCTGACTAAATACCCTTCTGTCTCACTAATTTCTATCAATTAAATAAAAAGAAATACATGATAATGCAATATCAACAAAACTAACTACAACATGCATTTAATCTATTCCCTTTTATCCCTAAATTGTCAAATATTTCCAAAGCATGTACCTTTGAAAATGTGTATCTTTAAAATAGGTATATCTGAATATTCATTACATGTGAGTTTATATACATACATATTATGGATTTAGTGAATGCATATCCATTAAATGTGATTTTTTGAGAACTGTACAGATCTAAAATATTTATGGTCCCTCAGCAAGCCTGAAAGAAGGAGTGCCCTTGAAGTTGAGGTATGACCTTAAGTTGAAGATGCCAGTTTTGCTGCAGTTGTAAAAATGAATACTAATAACTCCACAGTATCATAGTTCCTGTCTCCATTTTGTGTTTTAGAGCAAATTTTGAATATATGAACTGTCTTTATTATTTGACTATACATAGGTTTACTAGACCAATTTTAGAAGTTCCTGTATATCATTCTTAATCTTGTATGAAAAGGAACAAAAGCGGAAAGAGGTGTGTTACCCATCAAATAAAGCTGAAGAGCCAGGAAACATTTATAACATAGTAGTTTTAGTCTCGTATATAGTTTTCAACAAGACTTTGCTTTGTAAAGAATTTGAGTTCAAGCAAATAAAACTCTGTATTTTTCTCCCACAAAATGCATATCAATTAAACCAATAAATCATTGGCCCTTCTATCATTCCTTAGACAGGGGAGAGAGTAAGACTGATTTGTGGCCTCCTGTCCCCAGCGACATTAAGTTACTGCACTTTTGAAGAGTAGGTGGTACCCTTATTCAAAGAAGAGATTGTTCTCACTAGTCCATGAATGAGAGCATCCATATTTTTGAAGCCTAAAATACTATAACCAAAGTATATCTGCACCGGGATGTCTGGGTTCCTCTGAATGTGAACTTTTGGTTTTCAGTTGTCAAAACTTCATTTCAATGGAATCAAACACAAGAAATCCTAAAAAGGTAAACTTTACCATTCTTGTGGTAGTAGGTGACCTCCACTTTCCTCTCCTCTGACCCCAACAGTGCTTGTGCGATCTGGGCAATGTCATGCCTCTTGGTCTCGGGCCCGTGGAGAAAGTCGCAGGTGCAGGGCTTTTGCATGACATCTGGTCTGGAGAAGCCAGTCATCTCGCAGAACCCATCGTTGCAGTAGATGATGGCACAGTTCTGCACTCTGGCATTTGCAATGATAAATTTTTTATCTGCAATAAGAAGACAGTAAGGTATCCTTTAAAATCCTTCCACAAGATGCTCATAAGCATTAGAATAATTTGTTGCATAAGAGGAGATATAAAATGCAGGTACTTCCCAAATTGCTAACTGTCCCGGCTTTTGAAAGGAAGAGAAAAAAACAACAACAACACCAACCTTACATATGAAATACTGGTCATAGGCCATTTTAACAAAAAAGTATTAAGGACTACTCTTCAAATTTTGAGAATGTAATTTCCTAACTAACCTAGTTCTCTAGCCCTCTAACCCCCGGGGGATTCATTCTAATGAGAATCGCTGTCCCATTGATATTTCCAGGATACCATCTAAATGCAAGGTAAATATTTTCAAAGCCGAAACAGTGGAACATCCTGTAGCTGTCAGATTTCTCACTTCCACCTTGGCCTTTGGAGTACAACTTTCTCAAAGTAGTTATTATTCCTGGATTTGGCTTTTCTCTATCCCTGTAAGGCATACTACACATACATCATGTCAAAAAAATAAAACTATTAACAATGAAAGTATTTCATGTTAATTAGCAGTTCAGTAACGCAAAGGTTCAACTTTTCATAACACGTATTTTCCAGAAGATAAACATATTTACACACATATACACAGTAAATATCATGTTCACACCTTTACACTTCTACTTTGGGAGAACCATGAATTTTTGTGTAGTAGTAGGTATTTTAATACAAATGGTTTATTACTTTTGATCACATATTATATTTACCACTTCCAGATAGGACTTGCGAGTTTATGTTATACACAAGGTACTATATACTCATGTCACTAAGGACATCACCAAAATAACTGCGAAATGTACAACATCAATGTGTGTCAATGTGGTTTTAAGAAAATGTGGAATATCAATGACCAAGGATAGGATTTAAAGTCAACATATTTATATAACATTCATTCATTATAGTTAGTTCATATGAGAATACTGAATTTCTCTGTGTTCCATCTTTGTGAGATTTACTTAGTGTACTTCAATTTTTAAATTTCTAGGTACACATTGAAGGGGACAATTAAGGGACAGAAATACTCTTTTGAATAATGAACTATTTTCATTGGGAATCAGCACGAGTCAATTTTGTTTCCAAATTATCCTGCAGTGGGGATAGATTTACATTGATTCCATGCAAAGTTCAGCTTCTGTAAACTAGCAGCCAGCAAGCATCCAAGGCAAGCCACAGCCTTGCAAATTAACCAAGGTGAGGTGTAGCTTGCAGGGCCATTTCCATCGCTGCTACCACTGACATTCCCTAGTTCCAGTAGTATTGTCTGCCCTGCTCCTGACTTTCAGAAAGTCCGCAATTAAAACAGCTTCAAAACACAGACCCAGGTTACACTAGCACTTTCCCTTTAAGATAGTAGAAGAGTAGGACAGCAAGTAGCGAGGCAGATAATGGAGCAGTGGGAGAGGAGGATCAAATTGCCTCCTATAATGGAGACCATCATCTAACATGTAAATCACAATTAATCTCCGAGGGCGAGCACTCCCGCTGCCGTTCGAACCTCCGAACCTCCGGGCTGGGTTGCACAGCGACGCCCCTTGCCGGAGCCCGGAGTTGCCGTCTCCTCCGCTCCTCAGCGGCGGACGCCCCATGCACTATCGAAGCAGAAGAAGCGAGGGGGAGAGAAGAACGAATGGACTTACTTTGCCCTTCAAATTTCCGTATGATGGTGCCCAGAAATGTGTTTTGCGGTGCCACGTGCCCCCTGCGGACAGGCATGGTGACCCCGGTGCGCCGAGGAGCGCTCCCCCGGCTCCGAGTCCTCCCGGGATCTCTCCTCTGCTAGAGCCCAGGCCGGCGCGCCAGCCGCTCTTTGTGGCAGAGCATCCTCTTTGGAAAGCAGAAACCTCTTCCCATTAGCACCACTTCTAGACACCCGCTCTCCCCTCCGAGTCCAGTCCCTTCCCCGCACCTCTCAAACTGCCGCGGGTGAGAGGGTTTGGGGGTGGGGAGAGGGAAGGAGGCGGGGT